CACCAAGCTCGACAGCGGGCACCGAGGCACCAGGCCGGACCACGGGCACGGAGGCACCAGGCCAGACCACGGCCACCGAGGCACCAGGCCGGACCGGGTCATCAGGCTGGATCAGGTCAACAGGCTAGATCACGAACACCGGATCATCAAGCTGGATCGGATCATCAGGCTGGATCGGGTCATCAGGCTGGATCACGAACACTGGGTCATCAGGCTGGATCGGGTCATCAGGCCGGATCGGGCCATCAGGCTGGATCACGAACACCGGGTCATCAGGCTGGATCGGGTCATCAGGCCGGATCAGGTCATCAGGCCGGATTGGGTCATCAGGCCGGACCACGAACACTGGGTCTTCAGGCTGGATCGGGTCATCAGGCTGGATCACGAACACTGGGTCATCAGGCTGAATCGGGTCAGCAGGCTGACCGGTTTGGATACTGGTAGGATGGTACTGGTTGAAAAGAATTTTCGCTTCTTCTTGGGTTTAGTTACTGGAGCACTGTAAGTAAATTCAGGTCTGTAAACGGATAGAGCAGCTGAAGACAGGGAAGAGCCGGAGGATGGAACAAAGGAGGGAGCAGTTGCTACAGAGGGCTTCTTTACAGGGTAAAAGGCAGGATAGGTGCAGCGAGTGGGAGCAGGGGACTGACGTGGTAGCTAGCAGGGTATACTGGGCTGTAGTTTGGGGGTGCTGTCGGGAGTGCAGGAAAAGAGCTTTGAGCAGAGGAATGATGAGAAGCAGGACTGGTTTGTTGCAAGCTGACTGAGGCTGGGTGTAACAAGTCTGACCAGGACTGTAGTATGGGTTGAACACAACTCCGCTTACACATAGCCTGTCTGACCAAAGACTGCACTGCGTCTATACACTCCACTAGCACATATGATGGACAAGCTGCATAATGCTCATGGAAGCAATCTGGATCATCCTCCAACAACCATACCAGCGATTCCACTTGATCTGCACTGAATGGGGGAAAAAAGTCATCAGTGCTTTCAGGGGTACTAGCTGAAGCCAACTCCACACAAGCCTGAATTAATGGTTGCACCTCAGAGAACTCTGTGCCCTGATCTACCAGGGAATGCGCGACCCCTATGCATTCTAGCAGCTGATCCCTGGTATACTGCAGAGTCTCATAGGCATATTCTTTGTCATCAAAGACTAGCAGACACAAGTATATAACTTCCTCCGGATGCATCCTTCACAACAATAAGCCAAGATGGCTTCCCTGTGCAGCCACTTCTGGTCAGAAATGGCCTTGGTGTAATGTCAGGGCTCCGGGTATGACCAGAGGTGTGTGGACTGACACAGGGAAACGCAGGCTTCAGGTATAGTATAAATAAGATAATTTATTAAGACTAAACAACACAAACGCAGTGCAAGGTAAACATAACACAGTGCAAACAACCCAAACTCTAACAGATAACCATATATACAAATCAACGTAGTCGGGCAGGCCGGGTCGGTAGCAAACGGGCAAACAGGGTACCAGGAGAGAGCGGAAGAGTGGTCAGGAATAGCCGAGGTCAGGACAGGCGGAGTTCACTCAGAGTCAGGATCAAAGCAGAATCAGGAATCAAGCAGGGAAACATACACCAAGGCACTGACTGTAGGTCTGGCCATTCATTAAATACACCTTCTGCAATCAGCCCCAGGTGTTGGCTGATTGCAGGAGTGAGCTACCGGCTGCTGAGAGCACCCGCTGGTCAGCCCTGGTACTGCAGCCCACACGGCAGGTGAGTCCCACCACCAGTGCTGAGTCCATTCCTGACACGCAGCCTCACTCTTGAGCGAGCATGGCGTAAAACTAAATCTCTGAAAGACTTTACCCTCTACAAATCCGCTCTTCTCAAATACAACTAAAGCCTCCACGCTGCTAAGCAAACCTACTATAATACTCTCATCAAGACCCTCTCATCCAATCCTCGTCAACTCTTCTCTACACTTAATTCCTTACTCCACCCCCCACTGCCTCCACCCACCAACTTACTGCACAGGAGATTGCCAGTCACTTCAAGAAGAAGATTGACACAATTCATGATGAGATCTCCAGTGTCGAGCTTCCTCCTCTAACCAACATACCAGGCCCAACACCAAACTAAACACTCTCCTCCTTCGACCCTGTTACCACCAAGGAAGTTACAGAACTCCTTTCCAAGGCCCACTTCACCACCTGTCCCCTTGATCCTGTCCCTCACGACTGTTGCAGTCTCCTTCCTGCTCTATCCTAAACTCTCTAACCCACATCTTCAACCTCTCACTCTCCATGGGCACCTTTCCCTCCCCACTCAAACATGCACTGGTTACCCCCAACCTCAAAAAAACCCTCGCTGGACCCCACCTGTTTGAATAGCTTAAGACCCATCTCCCTGCTTCCATTTGCCTACAAGATTCTCGAGCGCCTTGTTTACAACCGTATGAACTGCTACCTCACCGACAACAACCTTCTGACAGTCTAGCTTCCGCCACAACATTCTACAGAAACTGCCCTACTAAAACTCGCTAATGACCTACTCCGCTTCATCGGCCTACGTGACTGCTCTCTCCTGGTTCTCCTCTTACCTTTCTCAGCGCACTTTCAGTGTCGCATACAACTCCTCCGCCCCGCTTCCTCTTTCTGTTTGGGGTACCCCAAGGTTCTGTTCTTGGCCCCCTCCTTTTCTCTCTCTATACCTCCTCCCTGGGCCAACTGATAACCTCCCATGGCTTCCAATACTACCTCTATGCTGATGACACCCAGATCTATCTCTCCACTTCACAGCTCACCCCCTCAATCTCCTCACGTATCACAAATCTACTAAGCGACATATCAGCATGGATGTCACATCACTACCTTCAACTTGATCTTTCAAAAAACTGAGCTTGTAATATTTCCTCCTCCCCGGTCCCCCACTCACAACTTTACCATTAAGATCAACAGCATAACCATTGGTCTTTCCCCTCGTGCTAGGCGTAATCTTAGACTCTGACCTCTCCTTTGGGACCCACATCCACTCACTGGCTAAATCCTGCTGCCTCAACCTCCGGAACATTTCCAAAATCCATCCTTTCCTGACCAATGACACCACAAAACAATTTATCCATGCTTTAGTTATATCCCGCTTCGATTACTGCAACTCCCTCCTCATTGGTCTACTCTTACACAGGCTATCCCACCTTCAGTCTATTATGAATGCTGCTGCTAGACTCATATACCTTACCAACCGATCAACAACTGCTGCCCTCTCTGTCATTCCCTTCACTGGCTTCCACTAACCCAACGTATGAAATTCAAAATACTAACCACAGCTTACAAAGCCATCCTCAACATTGCCCCTAGCTACATCGCCAACCTCATCCACAGATACCGCCCAAATCGCCCACTCCGCTCCTCCCATGATATCTTCCTCTCTAGCTCCCTCATCACCTCCTCCCACGCTCACCTCCAGGACTTCTCCAGAGCCTCTCCCATTCTCTGGAACTCCCTACCACAGCATGTCCGGTCAGGTTATTATTAAACAGCGTCTAAAAAGAAAGCACCCACGGTAGATGGCTAAATTGTGTTCTGCACATGCTCGTTTCTATCCCTGCATAGATGTTGGAAAAGAGTCTAGTTCTTGACTGTCATGAATTCCCTTAAGAAAATATTTTTTACCCATTGAAAAAAATTTTTGAAATGTAATATATTGTTTAAAGTGGGAAAGCAAATTTCAATGTGAACATGTTTCTACAGTGATTTTTCATTTTGTTAGACGTGCTTCTAGGACATCTATTTTTTTAGACTGATTCCTGTATTGTTCCTAGTTAGTAAATTCGCTTTCGAGTCTACTTGTTAGACTCTTTCTTTAGTAAATGTCTTTGCTGTCTAAAAGTAGACGGATTTCAATGAAAAGTAGACTTTAGTCCACGGAAATGTGCCTAGACTCCGTCTAGGCACATTAGTAAATCAGGGCCAATATCCGCTAAAACACTGCAGAATTCATCTGTCTGCTTCTGTCTTTTGTCACATCATCAATAAACACCAAAGACCCAGTGCCACTGGAAAAGCCATGCATGCCCATGCCATCACACTGCCTCCAACATGTTTTACAGATGATGTTGTGGCTTTATATCATGAGCTGTTCCAAGCCTTCTCCACACTTTTTTCTTCCCGTCATACTGGTACAGATTAATCTTAGTTAGATCCATCCAAACAATGCTTTTCCAGAACTGGTCTGGCTTTTCTAGATGGTTTTTGGCAAAGTCTAATCTGGTTTTTCAGGCTTATGAATGGTTTTCACCTTGTGGTGAACCCTCTGTATTTGCTCTCCTGAAGTCTTCTCTTGATTGTAGACTTTAACAATGATACGCCCACCTCCTGGAGAGTGTCCTTCACTTGTCTGGATGTTGTGAATGTTTTTTTCTTGACTATAGAGAGGATCCTGGGATCATCCATCACTGTTGTCTTCCGTTAATATCCATGCCTTTTTATGTTGCTGAGCTCACCAGTGCATTCTTCTTTCCTCAGAATATACCAAACTGTTGATTTGGCCACTCCTAATGTTGCTGTTATCTCACTGATGGATTTGTTTAGTTTTTGAAGCCTTACAATGGCCTGTTTCACTTGCATGGATGGCTCCTTTGAACACATGATGTAGGTTCACAGCAATAGATTCCAAATGTAAATACCACACTTAGAATCAACTCCAGACCTTTTACCTGCTTAATTGATGAATACATAATGGAGTACCCCACACCTGGCCATGAAACAGCTTTTGATTCAATTGTCCAATTACTTTTGGTCTCTTGAAAAAGTGGGGATGGCTACTCTTAAGAGCTTTAAATCCTAAACACCAATTTGGATGCACATACCCCCAAATTAAACCTAAGAGTGTGTACTTTCAGCCCATATCCAGTATATAACTATAGCTTGAATATGTTTTGGCAAATACCTGAAATAACCTAAAATTGTGCCTGTGTCCAAATATATATGGACCTAACTATGCTGTTTTTTTTTAACCAGTAAAGGAGGCGTTCAGCGACTTATAGAGGGACTGCGGTGGGCATTCTGACACTGGGGGTACTGACATGATGTCACTGACATCCCCAGTGACACCAATACAGTAATCAGTGCTAATAAAAAGCACTGACACTGTACTAATGGCACTGAGCAGGAAGGGGTTAACATCTTGGGTGATCAAAGGGTGCCATGTGTGTGCTTCTCACTGCTTTGTATTGGCTCTGCTATGCAGGAGCTGACAGGGTGAGAACTGTATTGTTTACATACAGTTCTCTCCCCTGTCGGAAATACTCAGCGATCACCAGGTGCCGGCGAGTAATGCAAATATATAAGTGATTTTGCGCACCCCTGCCGCCCTGTAGCAGTATTTCTGCTATAGGGCAGCGGGAAAGCTGTTAACATTACAGTCAGCGACACTGCATGCAGACTCTTTTTTTACATCAAAGGTCTTTTGCTGGGAAACACATATCCAACCATGTTGGTTGCCATTGCACAGCAAATTTCCTTGGGGCCCTTCGTAGCTAGCTGAAGATCTCTGACCTTTTTCTTCACCCAAAAGGAATTATCCTACAAAATCTGTTGCTTTTTTAAATTGTTTGTAGCACCTGCTGATCCTAAGGGGGAACTCTTACCCAGGTTTCAGATATTGTGTTTTGTTATTTATTTCTACCAGTGGCATCAGTGCTTAGAGAGATTTGACTGACACAAAAAAAAACTCTTCTTCATCCTCTTCTACCTGGGGTCATAGGCTCTCTTGAGGCCTGTTGGCTCTTACCGCCGGGCCCACTGTCATTGCCATTTCATTGCATATCTGTGTAACCCTGTTTAATGCTAAATCCTGCAATTTGGGGAATACCCCCAGTTAGCATTTTTGTTGACATAATCTCTAGTAAAATATTATCTTGCAACCTCTACTGTTCCTTTTTGTGTTTTTGCTCGTGTGCTTGTAGTGATTCTATTTAACCAGGTGTGCCAGAGGGGCCAAGGTTTTTCTTTGGGGCTCAGGCACATTACAGAGAGCCCAAAATTACCAAGCGGCTCCTTCAGGGTGGCATTACATGAAAAATATAAAGAAAAAACAATGTGCGCTATCATATAGTAAAAACACTAACTGAGCTGCTGCAATATCACTTATAAGTGATCCCAAATTCAAAACAACCAATATAAACAACAGTGTTGCGCTAACTCATAAAAAATCATGTACAAAATAAAATAAATACATCAATAAAATAAATACATAGTCCTTGTATTGTGGCAGTTCAAATCCAATATTGTGCTTGATGAAATGTGCTCCAAAAAAACTTCTAAAAACAACATGCTTTCTCTGATGAAGCCACGTGGTTGGTGGCATAATGCGTGGGGCGGAGCTTAGTGATGTCATTCCCAGTCACACTCGCGGAACGGTAGCCTTTTATGCATGATACTGATCTGTATATACCCTGCATAATGTGAGTGTTACTCTGAACATGTTTTTTTAATTAAATAAACGTTATTACGCTATGGGAGATGTTCCTTTCTTCCTACATGTGGAGTTTGAGTTGTGAAGAGATCCGTGTTATAGTGTGATCCATGGTGGTGCCTGTATCAGCTCTTTGCTGCCATCTGGAGCCTCTTTGATGGAATTACTATGCTTGGTTGACCTAAATTAATTTATAGGTCCTTATTTGTAGGTGCAAGTGCACTTAGTTACAGTGGAGCACTGTCGTTTTTGGAAGTTTTTTTGGAGCACATTTCTTATATCAAGCACATTTATTCAAGCACAATATTGGATTTGAACTGTCACAATACAAGGACTTTGTATTTATTTTCATTTTTACATGATTTTTTATATGAGTTTTAGCGCAACATTGTTGTTTATACTACATGAAAAAATTATAAAGTCCCCAAAAAAAAAAACAAAACTGGGATGAATGGTGTACCAATCCACTAACATAGACAGCAGTGAGATAAGGTTATCTCCTTGAAAGATTGAAGAATCCTCCACCAGGTAACGCCATGCAAGACTTAGAAAATCTGTATGACCTTCTAGTTAAAGAGAGGTCAAAATGTGCCATGCACAAAAGCATCATGACAGTCTTCTTAGATGGAATCATCAGAAAGCAAAGGACACCATAACCATAGCAGAGAGATACTCCTCAATCATGCTTCCATCCCAGTATTAACATATCAAAGATAAAAAGCAGAGAGCTCCATGTAGTGTATACCAGTCAAAGTATAACTTTATTTTACAAGTAGAACACTCATGTTTAAATGTAGTAAAAGGCTTGTAACGAACATCGGCCCGTAACATCAAAATACCTTCCCGCGGACTTCTAGTTGCAGAGGTTGCACAACAAGCTAGCCGCTCTGCAGATGTTTTGATGTTACTAGATAATGTTGGTTTGCAAGTACTTTTACTATTTTTAAATGTGTGTTCTACTTTTAAAATAAATGTATACTTTGACTAGATATACTATGTGGAGCTCTCTGCTTTTTATATTTTGATATGGTAATACTGGGATGGATGCATGGTTGGGGAGTTTCTCTCAAGTGCCTTCTGTGGTGGTTATAGTATCCTTTGCTTTCTGATGGCTCCATCTAAGAAGACTGTCCTGATGCTTGGTGACTATAGCACTACCCCCTTAGGGAGTTGCTGAGATTTATTTCCAGACTCCATAATCACTCTGAACCCCTCTCTGAAAGGCCAATCCATGCTGCAGACAACCACAGTACTTTTCTTGACCAGAGTTAAATTATTACCTAGAAATTAGACAACACAACACAGATTGGTAGCGTGAACTGATATGAGTGTTTTATATTAAACATGGATGTAAGCGCAGTCAAACAGTTTTTAAGAGTGGTATATATGTGGTTCCTAAAATGCTAATTAACCACTATCACTAACTCAAAGCAAAGAATAAACGACTGTCCAGGAATGGACGTAGCCAGCAATGGTGGGACTCACCTGCCTTTTGAATGTCTGCAGTACCAGGCGATGGCCAGCGGATGCTCCCAGCAATCAGAGACTCAACTTTGCAGCCCATGATATAACACCCTGTAAACTGATTATGCTTGGGGTATTTAAGGGGATTGCCATACTTGACAGGACCTGCCTTGGTGTTCGTGTTTCTCTTGCGGCCCTCGTATCCTTGTTCCTGCTCTCTGTTACCTGTCTGATTCTCTGGCTATCCTGTTTCTTGATCACCTGGCTTGTCTGAACCATCCCTCTGCCTGGACCCTCTGTACTACGCTGCCTGGTCTTACCTGTTTCTGGATTCCCTGGCTTGTGACCCTGACCTGACCATCCATCTCACTGCCTGGACCCTCTGTACTTTAACGCTGTCTAGCTACTCACTGCTGAAACCTGGCCTTTGACCCCGAGCCAATCTCGCTTGCTCCCCCTGTACCATACCTGCCCCAATTGATATATTGAGCTCCGGCGCTGACCTGACGACGCTTGCTTGTATGTACTGTTATCTGTTGGTGGCATTGGTTTTGGTTTGTTTGCACTGTATTATGTGTTTAGGGGGGGGTTGCACTGGCGGGTTTATGTTTGTTGTTGGTTAGTGTTAGATAAATTATGTAATTGCTTGTTATGACATATCTGAGGTCTGACATGTCCCCTGCTTCAGTCACGACACCTTTGGTCACACCTGGGGGCCCTGACATTACACCAAAGGGCCCAAAAATTAAAACCCAAAATTTTTTGCACAGGGGAAAACCATTGGCTTTTTTGTGGGAAAAGGTGGAAACTGGATAGGGTTTTGTATTTATATCTGCTAGTGTTTTATGACAGGGAGTATGCTTATCAAAAAACCCGAAGGAGTTTTCCCGGGAAAAACTACTAGAATGTTACGGCTCGTCATTTTCTAGTGATAGGGGACAGATTTTCGAAAGGTTTTCAACCCCTTTTAATTTAGGGGTTTTTGCTGAAGGGGTTTGGGTTTTTTTTTGGTTCCCCCCCAAAAGCAGGGAATTTAATTTTTTTTCCACCTTTAGTGCCGACCAGGTGAGTCCCCTTGGGGGGTTATTAGAGGGAAATGAAGGTTTTTTTCTTGGGGCGTTATTCCCCATGTTCACCCAAAACATAAGAGATTGTATAAACCCCGTGCAGTCCCTTGAACCCGAAAAGGTTTGGGGTAAGCTCAGCTTTGTTTAACCCATACTGCAGACATGGAAAGGGCTTGTTGCAACCCCGCCCCAGTCACTTTCAAAGACCCATTCCCTGCTTCTAACTCTACTCCTGTATTCCCACCAGCTTCCCCCATTACAGCCCCCGTATAATTGGGTATTACCGCATGGGCTTTAAACCGGGCCCACAAAAGCTGCACCTATCCTGCCAAAACCAAAAAACCCCCCCCCCCCCCCCCCTTTTTTACAACTTTTCCCTTCCGTTCCAACCTTCCAAATTTTTTCTTTTTCCCACCGCTGCCCATTTTGTTTGCAGATTGCGTTAAAATTCAGTTTTTCCCGTAGGGTTAAAAACCGAAAAAAGCGAAAATTTTTTTTTCCAACCCCAAAAACCCCCCCTGCCAGTATCCCCAAAACCCGGGGAACCCCGCCTTTGGGGACTCCGCCCTGGAAAACCTCTACTCACCCCGAATTCCCCCCGGTTCCCCTTCTTAGGGGTGGGCGTCCCAG